CTCCAATTTTCAACCAAAATGTTCTTTTAAAGTTGTGGATGAGCTTTCCCAAGAGTTGCATAAGCACCCCTTCAAAATTTGGCCTTATCAACCTCAAAAAGAGAATCAAAATTTAGGTACCGATCTCGGAGAAAGGGAATCAAAATCAAATATATATATATATCTTGATGATTATTCCTTTATAAATTTATTTATATATATATCGGTCTTTGCTCGCTAGCCTTTCTCAGAATTAGGACAAATCAAATTTATTTATTTTCTCAACCAACCGCCCAAATCTGTTCATAATTTTGGAAAGAAGTTTCAATATATTATTTTCAGACTGTCATGTCATGAATATCATCTGATATCGAATACAATGTTATTTGATTTCATGTAATCAAACATCCTCTGGAATCATTACTGTGTAGTTCATATATCAAAATACTTTCTTATTCGTCAATACTGAAGATGCATGATTGAATCCAGTCTTGTGTATCATCTAGCTGTATTTTGTCATCAACAAGTGTTGAAATAATAAGTTGTATAAGGACTAACCTCACCTTCTAACATAGCATCAGAATAATAGAAACAATCTCTCATAGATATATATTGAGGCGTGTTGTCTTTAAACAACTTACAACTCAAAAGGCCGCAAGTTCTCGATCTCAAGATCGGGTCTGAACCGGAATGGCACCTTATCCTCATTCATCCTTCTGAGGGTTATTGAAACCCTGGGATACAACACTCCAGGGATGCAGTGTTTGGGCACATTAGCGTCGTTTCCCTTTAATATCAACACAGAGCTCACAGGCAAAGGAATTTCTACATAGCCTTGAAAGTCCTTCACCAATAATATGAATTTCTGTTCCGAACATGATGTTACACTTCTTTATAAATGATACCATGCAGAATGACCTTGCAAAATCATTATGATCGACGTGTAGAGGAATGCAGTCACCAGCTTCATAGATATTAACTATACAGCTGTTTGGAATACAATCTACTGGAAGTATATGCCAAGTCACCAATCATTTGATTATTCTTTTGATGAATGATGGTAACGGGTCGACCTCATCGTGACGAATTATTCCGGGAGGATTTCCTTCTTGATCTTGGGCAAAATTGTAACAACAACCGTATTGGATCGTAACTCTTCCTTTACCTCGTTTCCATTTTCTCGGCTCAGAATATGTCCTTCTTCTCAGCCGACCAGTGTGTCCCATTTCTTGCTCCAAAAAAACACGTTCTACAATGTCGTCCTGTTCACTGCTGGTGAACACGTCGGTGTGCAGTTCCAACCCTTCGAGTATATTAACATACTTGCCCTAAAACCTTTGAAAGTGCTCAAAAGTTTGTTTTCTCACCTTTTCGTATTTCTCCAATTCGTTCTCTGGAATGATCTGCAAAGGATGTGTCTTACTCACGAACTGGCGAATATAAGGTTCAACTTCCATGATTCTTTCCTCAATCTTTTCTTCTTTGAAAATCACCCCTCCTCCAATTTTCATGGGTTGAGGTGGCATTTCAACTGGCTGATCTAGGGTTTTCCCTTTTAATTTGATCATCATCTGGGCAATAGTATCTTTATCCTCCCCTTGTTCTTTCAATTGTTCTAGCATCTTGTGGATACGGTGATTTCGATTCCTCTTCTGTGTACGGTAAGTGTTGCCTTACCTTCCGGCTGATCGTCGGTAGGAGTAGCACCAACAAGCTCGCCTTTAGAGGTCATTATTATTGACTTCATCCGATTAATTGCAGCATTGCTTGATTCGGCCTCGTCAATTTTTTCTAATTTCCTTTTCTTATCAATAATGAATTGATTCTTATTTCTGAATTTTAGCACGGGTTTTTGCTTATAAAACTCATCTTTGTTCACCACAGTTAAAGCTGAGCTTTCGTAATCTAGCTCAATTTGATCGAAGTTGAAATCAAATTCAACCATCACTCCTTCTATAATTTTTTTCTTATCATGGGCAAAACCAATGTCATTCTTGAATGTGAAGATCAGTCTTCCTCCTAACATTCTCCTGCATTAAAACAGGAAAACAGTCAGTATGTCAGACCGGGCTTTTAAGCAAGAACAATATAAATTTTTTTTATATTTTAATGATTTATATAAACATATATATTTATAATGTATATATATATATATATATATTATGTACATATCTTAATTTATATTTATGTATATATATGTACATACATGTATACACGCATTAAGTTTATTATTATTATTCTTTTTTTAAGATCGAACTAAAATGAAAGGAGAAAGGAGAAAGAAACAAAATAATAAAAAAAAAAGAAATCATATTCCAAGTTTTATATATAGAATATATTGAAAAATTAGTTAGTTTTTTTTTTCAAATATTTTCTATTACAAATTTATGTTCGGACCCAGTTGTAATTAAAACACCGGTGCTTCTAAGAACAAGACTTTATTTCTAAAGTTTGCTCTTTCGAAATATCATGATGCATAGTATTTCTTCAGATATCGTCCATTAATGGGAAGCATAGGTCGTTCTCCTTGGCAATTTATCAATTGGTAGGCTCCTCCAGAGTAGACTTTTTCAACCACGAACGATCCTTCCCATGTTGGTTTAAATTTACCTCCTATCTTGTGATGTGCAAGAATAGGTCTTCTAAAGACAAGAACCAATCACCAACTTTAAAAGTCCTGGGGCGGACCAATATTTCATGTGCTTGAATCATCTTGGCTTGATACAATTCCAAATTTTGTTGTGCTACCAATCGTTTTCCTTCAAAACTTTCTAATTCTTCCAGTTGTAATTTGGCATTTTCTTCAGTAGTGATTTTTTTGGTAACGACAACTCTAAGAGAAGGAAGTTGAACTTCTAAAGGTAACATAGCCTCGGACCCATACACAAGAGCGTAGGGTGTAGACTGGGTTGGAGTTCTGAACGTAGTTCTATAGGTCCATAAGGCTTCTAATAACTGCTCGTGCCAATTCCTTTTGTTTCCGTCCCAGGTCTTTTTTAGAATTTGGACGAGAGTTTTATTAAAAGCCTCGGCCAATCCATTAACTCTCGGATAATAGATTGTAGAATAACGCCAATAAATTTTGTGCCTTCTGACAAAATTATTGATCCTCGTGCTTTTGAATGTAGACCCGTTGTCTGAAATAACTTTGTGTGGTGTTCCGAAATGATAGACAATTTGGTTCTTGAAAAACTGTAAGACATGTTGTGCTTTTACTTCTTTCAACGGTATTGCCTCTGCCCACTTTGAGAAGTAATCAGTAGCGGCGAGAATGAACCAATGTCCCTTTGAAGATGGAGGGTCTATAGGACCCACCACATCTATACCCCAACATTCAAATGGTCATGACGCAACTGTCGGGTGTAACACATTTGGGGGGTGGCGTAAGACCACTCCATGTACTTGGCATTGATGACTACTTTTAGCGATTTTCATACATTCGATCATCATTGTGGGTCAGTAATACCCTAGTCTTTTAATTTTCATTTTCATCTTCGAAGCTAACTTATGAGCGCCACAAAGTCCTGAGTGTACCTCTTTAACAATTTCCTGAGCCTCTGTAGCATTCAAGCATCTTAACCACATTTGGTAGAAAGACCTTCGGTAAAGAACATTATCTATTAAAGCATATGATAGGGCTCTCTTTTTTATTTGATATGCTACTGACTTATCATCTGGCAGCTTTCCTGTTGTAAATATTCTGTGAAAGGATGACGCCAGTCTTCTGCGGTTTCGGTAGCTGTCATTATTGTTTCTTCTTTACTCAATTTGTCTAAAGTATCTACATCAATCAGGGACAAAGCCTGAAGTCCTTGAACAGTGATCTTAATTGAATCTTCTTGTGGACATGCAAATTCCTTGGCGAGTTTAGCCAAAGCGTCGACAAGAGTATTTTCTCCCCTTGGGATTCTGTATATTTTCACGTCTGGAATCTGTTCTAATAACTTCATTGTATAACGATGATATTGTTCCAATTTAGGCTTCAAAATTCTGTATTGCCCAGCAACCTGTTGAATGATTAACTGTGAATCTTCGTAAATCTTAATGTCAGTTACACCCATTGATATTGCTAATTGTAACCCTGTTATCAATGCTTCGTACTCTACCTCGTTATTCGTGCACGGTTCTGTCAAATGATAGAAATACCTTAACATCCCTTAACATCCCCCCTTAACATCCCCTTTTCCGGTGTAATGAAGATCAATCCAATCCCTACTTTACCAGGTATTATTGTTTGCAATTCTTTATCTTTTCATGCTGAAGAAGCCCCATCAAAATATGATTCCCAACGTCGAGTCTTCGAGTTTTCCACATCCATTATCTGTTCATCTGGTAAATCATCATTGAGATGGGAACTAGCCGGTAATGGGTGTGCTGCGAGGAAGTCTGCTAGAATCTGTCCTTTCATAGCTCGGAGTGGAACAAAAGTTATATCAAATTGCAATAATACCATGGCCCATCTTGCTAACCTACCGGAAAGCGTTGGTCGGGTCATTAAATATTGCAATGGATTAAAATTTAAGATAAGGTTGACTTTGTGAGAGAGCATGTAATGACGGAGTTTCTGAACTACGAAGATTAAAGCCAAACAATGTTTCTCGATCGAAGGATATTTCATTTTCGCTAGAATTAAATGACAGCTTAAGTAATAAAGAGCATTCTCTTTTCCTTCATCGTTGCCATGGGCTAAGAGAGCTCCGAGGGAGTCATCCAAAGTTGTGGTATAAAGTATTAAAGGTCTGCCCGAAATGGGTGTTGCCAAGACAGGAGGTGCCAGTAGATATTGCTTAATGCTCTCGAAAGCATGTTGACATTTATCATCCCAAATAAACTTTGCATCCTTTTAGTCAACAAGGAAAAAGGTTGACACCTTCCTGACAAATTAGAAATAAAGCATCTTAAATACACCAGCCTCCCATGAAAAGATCGTAATTATTTTAAATTTTTAGGGGGTGACATTTCCTAGATGGCTTTAATCTTACCTGGGTCAATCTCAATCCCGCGGTGGCAAACAACAAACCCTAAAAATTTCCCAGAAGTCACACTGAATGCGCACTTTAGGGGATTTATTTTAAGGTTATATTGTCGTAACCGTTCAAAGAAAATTCTCAAATCGTACAAATGATCTTCTTACTGTTTGCTTTTGATGACCAAATCATCCACATAACATTCCACCTGATTGTGAATGAGGTCATCAAAGATCCTTGTCATCGCTCGTTCATATGTTGCACCAGCATTCTTCAATTTGAAAGGCATTACGGTATAACAATAAACTCCAATTGGCGTTCGGAAAGCTGTAAATCTTTTATCTTCTAGAGCCATTTTTATTTGAGTATACCCAGACGACCCATCCATGAAAGAGAAAATTTCATGAGACGATGCAATATCCACCATCAATTCTGGGATTGGAAGAGGAAACTCGTCTTTTGGGCATGCTTTATTCAAATTTCTAAAATCCACACAGATACGAATTTGTCCATTTTTTTTCTTAACGGGTACTATATTAGCCAACCACGTAGGGTATTGTTCCTCCTGTATGAATTAAGCGTCTATTAACTTCTTGACTTCGTTTATAACTTGTTGTTCAATATCAAGACGCATTCTTCTTGAAGCATGCTTAACTAAAATAGTTGTAGGATCTGGATCTAGGGGATCTAGGCCCAGTTTATGTACTGCAACTTCTGGCGCCAATATGGGCATATCCTCATAACTCCAAGCAAAAAAATCTTTGAACTCTGTCAACAGCTTAAGCATATTCATAGATTCTTCTTCACCATATAGAGAGCTAATAAAAATCGGCCTCGGTTCCTTTTCGGTACCCAGGTTAGTTTCTTGTAACTCATCTACTGTTGATTTAATCTCTTCTTCAAATTCAGGTGGGGCATCATCAATTGTAGATTCTTCATAGTTATTTAGAACTTCCAAACAATATTTTTAATATTCATTAGTAACAACTAAGCAAAATTTTGTATCATCAACGGGCCCTACTATTTCGAATCCAATACCTTGTTTGGAATTAAAGGCTTAATTATCATTTTTTCAAAGTTTCTCAAAGTATTGTGATCGATTTTTTGACCATTGCTTAGGTACCAGACCGCGCTGAGAAAGATTTTGAACACAAGATTTTGAACACAAGGTGATTTTGAACACAAGGTGAATACCAATCAACAGGTAATTCCATTAATTCGGAAGAAAGCTCATCTTCTAGCTCTACATTGATTCCAAAACTAGAGGATGAAGGACCACGATGAAACTTAGTTGCTTTCATACCTGCATTATGTACCTCTTTGACCATCTGACCCTCAATTTTATGAGTAGAAATCGGGGTGAGGGCCATAGTTTGTACATAGCGATTGATCCGATCGTACATTGAACCATAATCACTTTTTTCTTCGTCATCTAAATCAATTTTGAAAAGAGGTTTCTTTTGGTTAATCTTCGTTACGCTTTTCTTTATTTTTTTCATCTTCAGAACTGTATTCCAAACCAATGTTGATGATTGGACTCTTTAGTTCAACAACTTTATCATTCCTTCCACGACCTCGTCCCCGACCTCGACCTCGGATACGAGTTCTAAAGGAACTCTCACCCTCTTGTTGTAAAGGGGTAATAAAAGATTGTTGAATCAATATCGGATGATCTTGCCTTTGTATAGCTTCTGGATCCTTTATGTTTCTTGTAATATCATCTTGAAGCATAACATTCTTTTTCAAAGGAGTATAGTTATTGGCATCTTCATGAATGCCTATTTCATGAATCGAAAATGGTTGTAGATCTCCCTTTATAAAATATTCTTCTCCTTCTAAACAATACTTTATGCATTGGTGTAATGACGAAGGAACCAAACTGTTCTCATGAATCCAGGGTCGGCCCAAGAGAGCATTGAACGAAGTCTCAAAATCAATGATATGGAATTTCGCAGTTGTTACTAATTCTCCAATTCTC